AAAAAAAAAAAAAAAAAAAAAAGAAACTAAAATTTCTAAACAATGTAATAGGACGGTAACGATAGTTAATGCATTGTACATTGTTACCTTTGAATTAGGTACAGTACAAGATACTGGGATTTAACTGTCCAAACAACATTAAAACAAACTTCTTTTAATGAACTAAAAGAAATTAGTAATATAACTATATTTGCTTTTCCCTTTTCTCCATTCCTCCATCCCAGTTGCTCTTTCCTTACGAACAGTTTCTTCTTATTTTACAATATCTCTTGTACATTTTGGATCTTATTTACTCTCAGCTTCTTACACTGGGGATATAATAGGATGTTAACATAAGTGCATCTGCTTGCTTGCTTTCTTTTTTTCTCTTTCTTTCTTTTCTTTCTTTTCTTTTCTTTTCTTTCTTTCTTTCTTTCTTTCTTTCTTTCTTTCTTTCTTTCTTTCTTTCTTTTTTTTTGTGGTAATGGGGATGGAACTCCAGACCTTGTGTTTCTAGGCAAGCAATTAGGCCACTGAGCTATATCCCCTGCCCTGGTTTATTTCACTTATGAGTATGGCCTCAAGTTGCGTCCATTTACCAGTACAAGTCTCCAGTTCATCCTTCTCTGTGGCTGAATGGTATTTAATTGTATGGAAAACAAACAAAACAAAAACCACAGCCTTTTTATCCATTCCTTGGTTGATGGGCATTTAGGTTATTTCCAAGATCTAGCTATTACAAATTGTGCTTCTAAAAATGTGAGTGCACATGTATTACTCTACTATGATGTTTTTAATTCTGGGAAGATACCCTGAAGGGCAATATCTGGACCCAATGGGAGCTACTTTTTGGAGGAATATCCACAATGATTTCCACAGCAGTTGCATCAGTCTACACTCCCAACAGTGGAGGACGACGGTTCCTTTTCCCCAGAGCCCAACCAGCATACGTTATTGGTTCATTTCTTGATGATTACTATTTTTTGGGGGGTGAGATGGGATCTCAGTGTTGTTTTAATTTGCATCTCTCAAATGACAGGAGATGTTGAGCATTTTTCATATACTTATTAGCCATTTGTATTTCTTCAT